GGGGGCTTCCCTGGTGGCGCAGTGGTTGAGAGTCCGCCTGCCGATGCAGGAGACACGGGTTCGTGCCCCGGTCCGGGAGGATCCCACATGCCGCGGAGCGGCTGGGCCCGTGAGCCACACACTGAGCCTGCGCGTCCGGAGCCTGTGCTCCGCAACGGGAGAGGCCACGACAGTGAGAGGCCCGCGTACCGCAAAAAAACAAAAAAACAAAAGTGGAGCTGGAGAGAGTCCGCCCCTGGACCGCGGCCCTTCCTCTCGGCCCAGGTGGGCCCGCTTCCTTTCCTGCCTGGCTCTTAGGCTCCCAAGGCCCACCTGTGCCCCCTCTGGTGCTAGCCCAGCTGTGCTAGCACCTCCACTGCAGGCAGCTGCCTCTTATACCAGCCACTCGGGGACAGGAGGGGCCTGAGCGCTTGGCTCTGGGCACCGGGGATCCACAGATCCCCTTCCTCTCCCTGCAGCACGCTGCACCTGGAGCAGCGGACAGGCCGGCAGACCCTCAGGATCTGAATCATGAGCTTAAACCAGGCTAGAGTGCAGAGAAGGGCAGGCCCGGAGAGCTGATGAAAAGTAGCAGAGTTTCTGCTTCTAGAAAACCTGAGGCTGCACTGCTAGGGGCCCAGAAACCATCTGGCATAGTTCCCACCCCCAAAGGCCACCCTCCTGGAGCCGTCTGCCTGCTGCCTGACCGCTTCCTCTTACCAGCCTTGGTCTGACGTCACAGAGACGTGGGAAGGAGGATTTGGGCTAGAGCTTCCATCTGACCACTTCCACAGGAAGAGGAACCGTAGATCTGCCATTGGCATGTGTGAGAGATAGTGAGGGAGGTGTGGTGTGTACACAAGCAAACACACGCCCAGACCACATGCCTGGGCCAGCCTGTAGCTGGGGGACCTCCGAGAAAACAGGTAGTCACGGCAGCCAGAGCTGGGGTCAGGGGACAAGAGGAGCAGGGCAGCAAAAGGCAGGTACGTGGAAATGTGGGGTCCTAGGGATGATTGACAACTGGGGGCTGGGGGGTGTCAAGGATACTTGGTTAGGTCACAGTCAGGTATCTGTCCAGAGGGAGCTAACTGGACAAGGGAAGAAGGAGGTCAGAGCATCACCAAATGTCCCAGGTCAGGGAATTCAGAGAAGCAGGTCTTGAGACACGCCCCGCAGCAGCATGGGATGTGCTGAGAGGACAGGGGGGCACAGAGCGCCCCCTCCCCGCCCACAGTCATCGGCTTTGGCGCCCGGCTTTGGGGCCCCAGGACCGGGGGCACTGCTGTTCCTCTGCTGTCCCCTGGTGGCCACTGAAGGAAAGGTGGCATCTGAGCCTGGGGCTCCAGGCAGACCTGGGTCCGTAGGTGTACGTGTCAAACCAAGGTCCCCGGTCTCTCAGCTAGAAGAACCTTTGGAGCTCTCTGGCCTTCCTCTGCCTCCTTACCCTGGGGTCTTGGAATTCTGGTCTTGGGCTTCTTCTGAGCCCTTAACCACAGCCCATCTGGTCTGGCAGCCAGGCTGCCACCACCAAGGGACACCAGCTCAGAACACAGCAGGGCCTGACCGTAAGGAGACCATGGAGGCCCGGGGCAGCTCCAGCCCCACCTGCCGAGGAAAGTCCGTCTACAAACAGCAAGGAAGCTGGTCCCTGGCCCCCAGATTCTGTCCCTCATTCCATCTTGGCAGCCACAAGACCCTCTCCACTGCCCCTGGTGTCCAGAAATGCATGCATCTCATTGCCTTGTCCCCTGGGTCTAGTCGTCCCTAGGCCCAGACCTCAGCCCCCACCTTTCTCAGGCCCCTGCTGAGTCCCAGCACTGGTTCTTCCCCACTGGCCCCGTAGCCCTCTCAGTCTCACCGGTCCTTCCAGCCCATCGCTAGTCTTCCTCCTCCAGGAAGCCCTCTCTGCCTGCCTCTTCCACCTCAGCTCACACCATCTCTCCCTCTCACTTCTCCTGGTTTATGCTGATGTTACATGTGTAAGCTCTTTACCTGATGCCCAGGTTGCAGACAGGCAGCATGTAGGTGGGTGTTTATTTCAGCCTGCACAGTGTCTTAGAGAGAGGTGAATAGTGGGTTACTTGCCAAGATTTTTAAGTGGGGCAAATTCACATAGAAACCTGGATTTTCTGGCTTCTCGAAAAAAGCAGAAGCCCTGGACACTGGCCAGCATCCCTGCCTGGCAGGAGCTGACGGGCATCCTGGCATGGCCTGCCCAGCCCAGCCCACCCCTCACCTTATTGCTCTCACTTGTGCCATCTGTCTGGCCAGCCCCTGCAGGCTTTGGGGTCTGCAGCCTCTTGGGATTCCTCAGAGCAGAGCAAAGCCCCAGGAGAAGAGCAGCTGAGGCTCCGAGCCACCAGCCCACTGGGCAAAACACTCTTGGGTGGTCGGTGGACCAAAGGGTGACATTGTGAGTGGCTATCTCATAGCTTAGTCCCTTCAAGGCTGTGACCTGGTGCTTGCCTCACTGCCACCTTTCATTCCTTAGTTTTGGGGTGGGGGGCAGTCCCAGCAAGCCTCCCCTCCAGACTCTGGGCCCCAGGAGGCCCCCTGCCCGCTGGCTCTCAGGGCAGCCATAAATGTGTATTAAATGAACACATGCAGAGGGCGCCAGGGTATTGGTAAAGGAAAGGGCTGGACTCCCTCCAAGGTGCAGATGACCCACTTTGATTTTAGCCTCAAAGCGGACACTTGGTAGATTCCAGCTGCGTATATGGTGCAGTGCTCAGTGGGGCGGGGACGAGAGAGAAGCACAGCCAGGGACACTGGGACTGTGGGGAGGGACTGATGCCCTGCGGTCACGTGGCGGCCCTGCCCCATCTTCAGCCGGGGCCTGCCCCTCTCCTTCCCCCCTTCCTCTCTTTCATTCACACCTTCCTCCCGTCCAGCTGCCTCTGCTCCTGCAGCCCCTTCCTCTCCCATTAACCATCCTGCCTTTTGGCTGTGATGAGGACAGTCCTCTACCCCAACCCCCCTTGTCTCCCCACTACATCTGTATTAAAATCCTACCTCTGGACCTGGGCTTCAGGACCCTCCATCACTCTCCCCAACCAGTCCCCTTCCCCCTGACCCACCTCCCTCATCCTTCACTCAGACTCAAAGACAGGTGTTCCCCAAACACGCCCTGAGTGTCCCTGCCGCCCTGCTCATGATGCCACAGGTCCCTCCGATGCCTGCTCCCACCTTTGAAAGCCTGTCTCAGACGCCCCTTCCCCAGGACGCCTCCCGATGCCTCAGCTGGCAGCCAGTTCTTGTTCCTCTGCCACCATGGTGTCATATCTGCATTGCCTTCGTGGGTCCTCTGAACATGAATTTTCTGAGGCCAGACCCTTAGCATCCTCTCTCGGCACCTACTGGGTACAAGTCTACAATGTACTTATGAACGGAGTAAATGAATGAAAGAACCTACTGACCAGTCCTTGCCCTTTGTAGCTTACCTGGAGCAGAAGAGTTGACACCCATTCAACAAACATTAGTGCATGCTGGGTTGGAGAAACGGACAGGATTCCTGCTCTCCTGGGGGTTCCAGGCATCTGAGCATGTGGGGAACATGGGACCACAAAGCACACTGTGGCTCAGGAGGCCACCCTGAATCGAGGCCTGAGCAGGCAGTGTCCGCTGGGTACCTGGGGTGGCGCAGGCACTGCGGAGGTGAGAGGAGGGACGTTCGGGAGGGCTCAGGGACACTCGTGTGAAAGGGAGGTGACCACAAGCTCTCTGAAACGCCTCTGCCCCTCGGGCCTCTGGGCAGGCCCCCCAGGCAAGTCCTCATGGGGCTCTCCTGTCACAGCTGCTCACCAAAGATGCAAAGCAGAGGCTGGGCTGCCAGGAGGAAGGGGCAGCAGAGGTCAAGAGACACCCCTTCTTCAGGAACATGAATTTCAAGCGCTTAGAAGCTGGGATGTTGGACCCTCCCTTTATTCCAGATGTAAGTAGCCTCCCCAGCCTAGACTGAGCCTGTGCATTGATATATGACCTTCGACTTCACTAAACATCTGTGCTGGGCCCCGGGTCAGAGGCTGAGACCTGTGGGCAAGGGGTGGCCCCCGTCTTCCAGTAGCAGGGTGTCGCCCGGTCTGGGGGTCTCTCTGTACCCACCCTGGCATCATCACCTCTGTGAAGTCCTCATCTCCAGAATCCCAGGCTCCCAGAGCCCCTGGGAGGCCTCCCCCACTGACCTCGAATCCCCAGAGGGCAGGGCCCGGGTTTGCCTCTGTGAGTCCCCGCACGGCTGCCCCGGAGCATGTTTGGTAGATGAGTGAGATGACAGAGATCACTATGGTTACGGCGCCGGGGCCATAGCAGCACTGACGACAGCCCCGTGGCCTGGTGCCTCGACTGCCCCATTTTGCAGGTGAGGAAACTGAGGCCTCCAGGGGATATGTAACTTTAACAAAGCACCTAAGCACTACAGCTGGGACCCCAGCCCAGGTCTGTGTGGCTGCCGAGCCTGTGTGCTGACCTACCACCCCTGACTGGCCTCCGATGCGAGAAGGGCCAGGGAGGTCCTCCTGGGACATCGCCCCGTTGCATCCTGTGCAGGGCAGTGATGGCAGGAAGGGGCCCTGAGCTCTCGTCACCCCAGCTGGGGGCCCCTTGGCCCCTCTGAGCGAAGGGCAGCCCGGGTTCCCGGGGCGGGGGTGGCCCTGGGAGACCCCCGCTGCTCTCCATCAAAACCCTCCGGGCCTGGCTGGGGGGGCCGCCAGAGCCACAGGCAGGGCTCCTGGTGACCAGCACCCTGCCCTCCCAGCCCCGGGCCGTGTACTGCAAGGATGTGCTGGACATCGAGCAGTTCTCCACCGTGAAGGGCGTCAACCTGGACCACACAGACGACGACTTCTACTCCAAGTTCTCCACGGGCTCCGTACCCATCCCTTGGCAAAGCGAGGTGAGCACGGCGGGGCCCTCAGCTTCACCCTGAGGGGAGGGTGCAACGAGGGCAGAAGAGGGACAGCTGGGGGCGTCCCTGTGGGCAGACTGGGGCGTGGTGTGGTGCTGGGTCAGGAGCTGGCTGGGCAGGAAGAGGAGGCCTGTCTCGATGGCTCTCTGGAGAAGCGTGGCTGGGAAACAAGAGAAATGGGGCAGCAGTGGGAGGCACAGGGGGGCTGGAGGTGGGGCAAGTTCGAGCTGGTTCGAGTGAGGATGCAGTGATGGGGTAGTGGGCCTGCAGCCCTGGAAGGGGGAGGGTCTGGAGTGCTGGGGTAGAGGAGGAGCTACGGGTGAATCCCGTGGCTGGGAGATGAGCGCTTCCCTGCCGCTGCCCTCCATGGCCGGCTACTGTCTTCTCGGAGAGGGTGGCTTGCAGGGCCGTCATGGGGAGGCGGTGGGCGGGCCTTGCTGCCTGGCTCTCTGCCCTGTGAGATGGAGGGCGGGCGGAGAGCCTGGCAGGACCGGGCTCGGAGCAGTGTTGCCCAGGGCTGGGCTGCTGGGATTCCTGTCCACCCAAGATGACCAGCGCAGCCCCTGACACCACCCGTGTTTTGATCGCTTCTCCAGATGATCGAAACAGAGTGCTTTAAGGAACTGAATGTGTTTGGACCTAACGGTACCCTCTCGCCGGACCTGAACAGAAGCCACCCTCCGGAACCGCCAAAGAAAGGGCTGCTCCAGAGGCTCTTCAAGCGTCAGGTGAGACCCTCACTCCCACCTCAACCCTGCTGTCCTGGCCTCAGCTCTGGGAACCCCTAGGTCTGAGCCTTCCAGACAACTGAGACCAACTTGCAGGCTGGGGAGACTGGAGGCAGCAGCAGCCTGAAAGGGACAGGCAGCCTGTCTGAAGTGCCTTGAGACCCACTGGCTGATGGGGTCCCCAGAGCAGAAGGGGCAGGGCCAGCCCAAAGTTAACTGGTCATCAGGGTTCCTCAGCCTCGGCGCTGTTGATGCTTTGGGTTAATTCATTGTCGCGGGGACTTAGGCGTTGAGGGAACTGAGCAGCATCCCTAGCCTCCACCCAGTAGATGGCAGTAGCACCCACTGCCGTGTGTCAATCAAAAATGTCTCCAGGACTTCCCTGGTGGCGCAGTGGTTGAGAGTCCGCCTGCCGATGCAGGGGATGCGGGTTCGTGCCCCGGTCCGGGAAGATCCCACATGCCGCGGAGCGGCTGGACCCGTGAGCCATGGCCGCTGAGCCTGCACGTCCAGAGCCTGTGCTCCGCAACGGGAGAGGCCACAACAGTGAGAAGCCCGCGTACCACCCCGCAAAAAAAAAAAATGTCTCCAGATGCTGCCTAATGGCCCTGGGGACAAAACGCCCCTGGTCGAGAGCCATTGTAAAGACGATGCAAGTTATGTAGGTAAAGATTTGACAAAGAACAGGGGGATCTGGTGCTGGAGAGGTGATCCCCGAAGAACCTCATGGCTCCCGAGGTGGGGCTCCTGTAGTTTGATGCTGTGCCCTGCAGCTGGCAGCCAGAGGAGATTTTGGCCCTCAGGAAAAGGTATTCTTCCCTCAGAGCCTGTCCCTGGATCAAGGGTTGCTGTGGGCCACAAGGGAGAAATGTCCCAGGAAGGACCCGGCAGGCTTTCTAGAGTGAGAGACCCCTAACCTCATCCCTGCCACCAAGAAGATGGCCACAATAGCGCCGCCTCCTGGCCTGGCCCTTCAAGAAGGCAGGGCCCCATCCTGAGGCCTGGGAGGCCCCTGGTTCCTTACTTTCCTCCTCCCCCCAAGGGAGTAGCAGCAGCTCTGTACCCAGGCCCCGGGCATCCCAGCTCCCTCCTGCTTAGATAACAGGGAAGAGGGGGCTGTTCGTGGCACTCCACTGTGGGCCAGGCACTATGCTGGGCGCTTTTTGAAGGCATCTCTTATTTAATCTTCACAAAACCCCAGGCCTTCATTCAACTATTCATTCTACCAATATGTATTGAGCACCTACTCCATGCTAGACTGTTACCTGAGGACTTAAGATGCATCAGCAAGCAAAACTGCATCCCTCCTTTGGGGCATCTTAGTGAAGTGTGAGCCCAGGATGTGTTCCCATTAACCCATTTCACAGATGAGGAGACTGAGGCTGAGAGGAGTTAAGGAACTTGCTCAAGGTCACACAGCCAGTGAGTGAGCCCTTGCGGAGGATCTGGGATAACAGGGCGGGCAGCACGGATCAGGCACACTGAGAGAAAATGCAGACTGAGGCCTGAGTTTGCGGTTTTATCTAAAAACTTCATGTGAGTTTCACCTCCTATTCCATAATATACTCATATCCATCTACTATAAAAATATAATTTTCGGGCTTCCCTGGTGGCGCAGTGGTTGAGTCTGCCTGCCGATGCAGGGGACGCGGGTTCGTGCCCCAGTCTGGGAGGATCCCACATGCCGCGGAGCGGCTGGGCCCGTGAGCCACGGCCGCTCGATGCGGGGGCCACGGGTTCATGCCCCGGTCCGGGAAGATCCCACGTGCCGCGGAGCGGCTGGGCCCGTGAGCCACGGCCGCTAAGCCTGCGCGTCTGGAGCCTGTGCTCCGCAATGGGAGAGGCCACAACAATGAGAGGCCCGTGTACCACACACACACACACACACACACACACACACACACACACACACACACACACACACACATATATATATATATATATATATATATATAATTTTCAAATGCTTCCATCAAGTAAAATTGAAGTTCCTGAAAGAAATGACCTCCACCCCTGAAGTGGCCGAGCCCCCCAGGACGGCCCGGGATCCTGGGATAAGTGTTTGCTGTGGAAGTTCACGGCCCAGGTTCAAATCCAGCCCTGACCCTTCTCAGTTGGGTGGCAACGTATTGAACCCAACCCCTCGTGCCAGCCTCTGTTTGCCCACATGAAAAATCAGGTTGGAAATGCCGGCCGCCCAGCGTGAGTTAGGTGGAGGACAGTGACCTCAGCACAGTGCCTGGCACCATGACTGCCACCAGGGGAGCAGACACGTCGGCTCTCTTCTGCAACGTGAGGGGCCCGCGCCCACGGGGGTGCCAATAGGGTGCCAGGGATACTGAGGGCGAGCAGCTCGTGGTTCCCAAGCCGGGCACCTGCTAGAGCCCTTTGCACACACAGCCTTGTTTCCGTCTCCCAACAGCCCTGCACAGAAGTGGCTCCTAACCCACATCACAGGCCAGGCAACCGAGGGAGTCAGACACTTTCTCAAGGTCACTCAGCTAAGAAGTGGCGGATTTAGGATTCGAACCCAGCAGCCTAACTCTGGGCCTGCAGGCCTAACCATGTAGATAGATATTATAGGAGGGACCACCTCCTCTCTGCCTTGGGCGTCTGTTAATCAGGTAAAGCCCTCTGCCCCAAGGGGTGGCCTCCGGACCTGGGTCTGCAGGGGAAGAACAGAAGGCAGCAGAAAGCAAGACGGGCAGCTGGTCAGCTGAGCTCCCCTCCAGTTCAGATTCAGAGGCCCCTGTGATGCAAGGTCCCCAGGGCTCAACTCTGCGATGACTGACCTTCTCTCTCCCTCTTTCTCTCCTCCCTGCTCACCCCCCTCCCAGCATCAGAACAATTCCAAGAGTTCAGCCAGTTCCAAGACCAGTTTTAACCATCACATAAATTCAAACCATGTCAGTTCAAACTCCACCGGAAGCAGCTAGCTGCAGCTCTGGCCTGAAATCCACGGTGGGACCAGCCTAGACCCTTCTCCTTAGAAGCGGACTTGTGACCGGTGGAGCTTCCGCCCTGGCGGGCAGGCGGGGGAGCCCTCCAGGAGCCGGGGAAGGAGGCCGTCCAGCCCCGAGATGGGGAGCCTCCAGGTTCCTCAAAGAGATTTCCACTCAGGTCTGTGTTCGGAGGCGGCCCTCAAGCCAAGGAGGATTGGCTGTGTCTCTGTCGAACATTGCAATAGAAATCCAATTGGATACAACTTGCACGTGTTTTAACAGCGTCATAACTAGAACTGAATTTTGTCTTTATTATTTTTAAAGAAAAGTTTTGTAAATTTCTCTATCGTTTCAGTTTACATTTTGTATATTTGTATTTAAATGAAAGTCAGACTTTGAGGGTGTATATTTTCTGTGCAGCCACGGTTTAGCCATGTGTTTTAAGACATTTTAGAGGGGTGGCGGGTGGGGAAGGGTGTAAAAAAAAAAAAATGTGACTCAAGACTTCCAGAGCCTCAAATGAGAAAATGTTTTTATTAAATGTAGAAAATGGTTCCCACTTCACCTTTAAAGGATTGATTGTATCCATCTCTATAACCTTTCCCTCCCTCACATTGGTATCACCGTTCTGTTGGCTTGTAACAATCTGAATTAAATGCTCAAAGACCCACTGGGACTTCACCCCCAGCCAGGATGTCTTCCGTTGGGGTCCATGGAGTTGCCTGGGCCCAACTCCATCAAGATGTGCACTTTTCCTTTGGGGGCACACGATGCCGCTGTTGCTTTGGCCTCGGCCTCCTCTTCCTTCTGGAAGGCGGCCGGTACGTGGAGCTGAGGGTCTTCAGCACAAGGGTGTCTAGGCCTCTTTCTTTCTGAGTAGGTTCTGACTGCTAAAGCCAGTATGTTTTCAAGAGGCTTGCATTTGGGGATTGTTTTATTCTAGTTTTAAGAGACGCATAGCAACAATAAGCGGTAGTCATGGAACCCCAAGAGTCCCAAATGCTTACGGCCCATAGAAGCATCAGGGAGCGGAGGTCTTGGGCTTGTAGGGGAGAAGGTGGCTCTCCCAGGATCTCTGGGCATGTCCCTTGAGTGTTTACGGGGTCATAGGGCCTTGAGAGCTTCCTGGGGCCCCGCAGATTCATTGGCTCAGGTGGCATGGATGTATGAGGTTGGCTCTCCAAGCAAATGGGAGAGGCCGGGCCACCCACAGAAACTGAAGAAAAACTCACTGTCCCTTCCGGGAGAGGTGAAGCAGAGGCGAGCTCTCATCGGGCATCTCAAAGCTCCAGGCACAAGTAGCCCCAGGAGAACTTGGTGGCTTTGCCAGACCAGGGCCTCTAAAGGCAGCCCCCAGACCCTTTGAGCAGGGCTGTCCAGCCCCAGGGAGCGGCCAGCCTCCCCCCTGCTGCCTTCACAAGGTGACAGGGAGCAAATCTGTCTTTGCCTCCCCTCTGGGACAGGGTGAACAGTTGAATTCCCTGCTCCCCTGCTTGCCAGGTCACCCTCAGTCAGACCTGGTCTCAGCCACCGGGCAGCTGCCAGGGTTTCTCCCGGCGTGGGCCCTGCACTTCCTGCAGCAGCATCTCCTGTTAAAATACAGATTCTGGGCTCCACCCCAAACCTACGGAGTGGGATTCCCTGGGAGTAGGGCCCAGGAATCTGTATCTTTAAAAAGCTCGCCAGGTCATTCTGATGCACCCTGGAGTGTGAGAACCACTGCCTTAGGCCATCGGTGGGGCTTTTGATGTGATCCTCCCAAACTTATTTCTCTAGGTGACCAGGCAACTTTGGAGCCTGAGCTTTTAGGGAGGAGAGAGAAGCCAGCGTGTCAGCCTGTGTCCCAGTTTCCATGCTCCTTCCCCAAACTTTGCCATTGGGTCCTGAGGCTAGACAGGGGCCTGACCGTTGCAACTGACCATTTTGAGGTCATTTTACAAGGAAAGAGAAGAAAAGAAACAGTTGGGCCTCCCTTAGATCCCTTTCATGCGCAGAGTATTATTTTCTTCAAGACCAGCGCTTGTCTCCGAGGTTGCTTCCGTTACCTCTCTGGAGCTGAGTACAAGATTAATACAAACAGCCGTATTCAGTGTTTGCTGAGGAAGTGGAAAGCTCTTTGACCAGTATTTTAAGATCCTCAAGCTCTTACTGAGCCTCCTCAATGAAAAGGACAGTCATCTTCCTGGGACAGTCAGTAGTCCACGCCACCACCGCCCTGTCCAGAAATTTCATTCATTTTGCCCGATTCACAGCAACTCAAACCTTTCCAAACGGACTGGTGGGGAGCAACCAGTCTCTTTACACCTCAAAGCCAACGCACTGTCCGTTTGCGGTAGAGAATCATCAAGAAGCAAGAAAGAAAACATACATCTGCTCAGTGTGTTTCTACATCGTGAGAGCACAGAGGCTGAAGCACAGAACTTTGCGTGGCTCTCAGGATAACGGGAGTCTTCCTTCACCCTCGCCACCTGTCCCCTGAGTGCCCCAAAGTGTACAGGGTCAGAGTCACTGGCCTTTGCAATCCTCCTCTTCCTTTCGGTCCATTGCTTTGTACAGAGAAGGGGCGTCTTCATTTAGAACAGTGCTTGAAAGCCAGCCCCCTCCCCTCTGGGTCCCCAGTTGCCACAGTTCCTGTCCCTGGGCCCCCCGTCCCGCCCCGCCCCGCCGCCAACCTCTACTCCAGCTTGTTTTCTATGGCTGCATTTTTTAAAAGATTTTTTAACTTAAAAAAACCTTCCCACCATCTACCTGTCCAGGAGGAGGCATATTTGGGCAGCCAGTGGATTTAAATCTTTTTACTGCATTTGAACTCTTCACGGAAGAGACTTTCTTCCTCAAAGCATGACGTTTTTCTCACCGGACCTTCTCTGACTTCGTGCCTTTGAGGTGAGACACAGGGTCTTGCAGAAGCACCTCTGCTTCCCCTGTTCAGGAGTCAAGCCGCTGTCCCCAGTGAGACGGGGGTGGTCTCTGCCGTGATCACCATGACCTGTGAATGTTTCTCAAGCCCCCTGGGCGGCTCCCATGATTATCACCCACAAGATCACAAAGACCCAGCCCCACCTTCACGGAGGATGGCACCACCTCCCACATCAACTCATCCTCTGATCTTTCTAGGCCGGGAACATCATTCTTTAAACCACGAGGCTTCTTGCGAGGGCTGCTGACTTGCACAGTAGCTAAGGGTTGCCCTGTCTTGAGCCGCCCCAGGAGGGCTTCTTCCCGAAATGCACTGCTCTTAACAAAGGGGAGTGCTCAGTCTTGGAGGCCATGCTGCACATAAGCAAGCGGTGTGGCCTGGGGTATGCACGCTTCTCAGGCAGCCCACGGGGGCAAATGGCAGTGAGTTCTGGGGACACGTATGTGGACGTGGCCTTGGCATTGAAAGCACAAGTGAGATGCGGCTGCCTGCCCTTGAACCTAGCAATCCTTGGTGATGCTGAGGGCCTGGCCTCCAAGAGGCCAGGGGTCAAGGAGCCCAGCCCTCCGTGGAAGCTTCTCCCTATCCTTCTACACCCCTGTCCTTTCCCCCAAACTTTTCCCACTAACTTTCTCATGCAAACTGCTGACCCAGACCTCAGTACAGAGGGAGCACTGCAGCCTCCTCGAGCCTGGTAGCCCAGGCCTTGCCGAAGGGAACAGCGGCCTTGCGGACCACCAAGTCCCCCGAGATGAAGAGGAAACGCCAGTCGGGGTGACACCCAGCTCTCCTCTGGGGCTGCTGTGTGCTTGCGTATCCATGGGCAACCCCTCTGGTTGTCTCCTGTTCTCTAGCTCCACACTCTGAGGTAGGACCTCCTAACTTTTTAGCCTTTCTATGGAAAGAG